AGGAAAGTCTCACGTCCCACACAGCATGTACAGTGACACCGTGCCGTAGTCATGGTCTCTGTGTGTCGATGTTTGTCCCTGACTCTCTCTGTCCTGTCACACAAGTTATATTTAGTGGTGTTAAACCATCTTGAAATTCAATCTGCTGTCTTACAAGAGTGAAAGCTGCAGGAAGACTTTCCCATCACATGGTCAATGGAGCAGCAGTCACAGACTGAAATATTTGCCGAGTTTTATATTAAACTCAGTATATTATTATCAGTTAATCATAGTGCAAAACAACTAAGAACTGACATGTGTGCTTCTCCTAAGATTAAATACAAAGATTAATTAAATGGATAATAAATAATGTACAGTAAATCATAATTGAACTGAATACAACGGAAAGAACAGATTTCTTGCCAGTAGATAAACTTTTTAACATACCTTCATCATTTATTTCTACTTTTCAAATTCCCTGTCTAAATTTTGTTTTACCTTTGTGCCAGGTCTATAAAACTACAAAATACATCAAAACAATTATATGTAAACAATGTTAACAATGAGTGAAATAAACATTTCAATTTTGAGAAAATGCTTTATATTCACGTTTACACAATTTGTGACTCTCCCTCTAGTGACACTGTTTCTCCCACAACCAATTATTTTGCCACTAATAAAGTTTTATCAAAGTCTATTAAGCTGTAATTTTGTCTAATTATATAAAAAAAGAAGCACCATAAAAGCAGATGTTGAGGTCGTCTGAAGATAGTATTGTGTGATGAACCAGCCCTAAATTTATGAAATCATTATGCCTCAACATCCACAGAAGAAAGTCATATGGGTTTGGAATGACATGAAAGTAAATGGTGGCCTTAATTATAATACTAAGATATCATCTGATGTCTCACTTTTGCAGTCAGGGGAACTTAACCAGAACTGTTTCATCTTATCTGTATTCACTTGTTAATTGCATGATAATAGGTTTTGACCGGGCAAAAATGAAGCTCCAGGCTTCCTTATGATTAAACATCCAAATTTAACTCTTTCACTAAATGACTTCCTCTCAAACTGATGCTACAGGCTAAATATTGCCACAGCTGTTTCTGTTCATGCTGGTGATGATACGTTTGACATCATTGTTCATCACTCTATACAGTTGGATGAAGTAGTTAAATATAAACAGAAATACTCATTTGTCTCTTCAGCAGAGCGGAAACTACAAGATTATTTTTCAGATAATTGAGCACATCTCATCCTGGTGTGATGTGTATTTGCTTTTAATGAATTGGGAAGATTCTCTAACCAAAATGTCTTTCAAATTTAATGAATGTACAATGGCATAGTGTTTAAAACCATATATAGTTTAAAGAAAATGTGATGACTGCTGTTGAATGGCGCAACCTTATGTGCATAGCTTTACACTGCTATCCACCTGGAGAGGATTTGATATTATTAGATTTCTGATTCTGTCACATTCATGTCCTTTAAGAGCCTATGAAATGTCACAAAATGCCATTTATACAGTTTTTACATGGATCCATATTTTGCCCATTTCAAATGTGCTGCCGTGTAGCTTCAATTGAGGCCTGTTGTCACAATGTGCTCATATATACAGTACTAATATTTTTGAATGTGTTGTGCATCAGGTGTCACAATGTCAAAATTTCAGAATAGTACCAGTGAAATTTTAGTGAAATTTTACAATTCTCTATACCAATTTTGATAACACGTGAAAGAGGAATGTGAAAAAGAAATTCTTTATCAAGTTACTATTCAAGACAAGTTTTTGTCATGCCTAACAGCAGTATGAACTATTCAAGTAAACATTCAAAAACTGGAAAAAGCGAGAACATCATCCAAAAATAATGCTAATTAAAATAGCTTCAGTTACTGGCTTCAATGCATGATTCTGTTCATGTTCAATGAAAGAGGCTTTAATAAAGCAGTGTTATGTGCCAAAGTTTAACACCTGACCGCACATCCCTGTAACATGTTTAGGAGTTTGTTCTTTAATCATAATGAGCAGTACTAATATGTTCACTTCAAATATCAGCAGTAATAATAGAGACGCTTGTCAAACACAATTAAAAATGAAATGAGAAAAAAATAAATACAGTTCTTTACTATTTAACGGTCCATTGTGGGCATACAGTTGGATGGGTCTTTGTTTATTTTAGTCTTTAATGTGAATGCTAATAATACATGGGCAGACAGAGACGATCAGAGGTGTGAGCTCAGGGTCAGTCCATTAACAGACGGGGTTTAACAGAAGCTGGAGCTTCTCCTGAACATTCATTCCAGTAAAACTGACTCACTCTCACCATTAGTGAATGTCTACCACAAATGATTCCTTGTTTTGTTTTGTTTTAACATTTTTCAGTGTTTTCCAGGCAGATCGACACAAACACTGACACATAGCATATATATATATATATATAGAGAGAGAGAGAGAGAGAGAGAGAGAGAGAGAGAGAGAGAGAGAGAGAGAGAGAGAGAGAGAGAGAGAGAGAGAGATGCACCATTGTGAAAATTGTGGCCGATACCAATAACCGATATTAATATTGCTGCTATGGCCGATACCGATATTTACCGATGTCGTTACCTCTGCATAGAAAACACATAGAAAGGATTAGGGCTGCATGCTATTGGTAAAAATTACATTGTGGTATTTTATTTTTCTGAAATATAAAAAACAATTTCACCAGATGACTTGAATAGCTCGAATCAATGAATGAATCATTCTAGAATGACTGGGGTGGTTTTGTCATGGAGTAAATCCGCATAGAAACTAATATTACTAGAATGTTAACGAATTTAGTTAACTAGACTTTAATAAATGGAACCTTATTGTAAAGTGTTTCCGATTTATGTCTCTTGAGTTCAGTGTTGGACAGATCATTTGTTTTAACCATTCATTTAAGTGTAAAGTGGAGCAATTAGTTCGCAAATCGGACGGACCATGGCACACGTTTGTGATTATCCCGTCAGTTTAGTACATCGCACAAGATTTGTCTCAACACAGAAAACATTTCATCACTTGATAGATTTTTTGTTTGTTTATTGAAAGTGTGGTTATGTCATCTGAATATGTTGAAAGCTTTTCAGAGTTGCCTTTATTTTAGCACAATTCACAACCACCGCTGGTGAGTTCAGAAAAAAAAAAAAAAAACCTTCGTTCTTCTGACCTTTTACCATCGTGTATTGTCAAAGATATTCAGGCAACTCAAATCATTAATATGCAAGAGGAGGGAGGGAGAGAGAGCAAGACAGTTTGAAGACGGCTTTTTATATTTGTATTGTTCACTGTAATCTTCATATTGTGCTTTTTGTTTAGGTAGACAATGTTAACATCTGTCCAGGGACAACAGATGAAAAATAGCTTTTTGCAAAGTTTTATAAGATTTGGACCAAATGGATCGAGTATTACCTGAAGAGGTGTGCAACCCGGTTCTGTTATGCTTTGTTATTGTTCCCAAATGAATAAGTAAGAAAAGAAAAGAAAAGTAAAGAAAAGAAAATGAAAAATTCAGAAGGGTAATATGGACAATCTCATGTAAAACTTTCTAAATTCACCCTTGCATATGTACTTGAATGACCAAAGCTCTAATTAATGTGTGATGGGTGTTTGCTCTTCCAAATAAAAAGAGAATAAAAAAAAAGCCTTTTGCCTAATTCTGGTGCATTTGCAGCATTGCAAATTAATGGACACTGTCCCTGTCAAATAAATTATAATGCTCAGTTTCCAAGTCAATCCTTTAAACCCCTCTCCTGAATTGGCAGTAGTTCCAGTCATTCTCTACTGACTTTAATTCGTTCCCATTTCCTTTACCCAAACACCCATAGCCTCAATAGCCCGACTGTGCAGGGGTGACCTACACCCATATGTGTCACACATGCCTCTTTGGGAAGATGAGACGTGCTTTTTGCACTTCCCGAGTGTTTGAACCGCCATTCTGCAAGCCATCTTTATCCCTTGGGGTGAAATGTAAGGGGCGGCGGTGTGCAGTCAGTTTGCTCCAGCCCCTAATACAGGCCCGGAAGAAAACTCTTGATTAAAAGTCAGCACTGGTTATGCCAGGCATCCCACGCTAGGCTGACTAGGCTTAAAAATAGATGGCTCAGGGGAGGGGGGAGGGGGTTTGGGGTCTAACACTCACACAGGGACCTATTAAGAGCTCATCTAAAGAAGAGTCTCTCCTTGAGCTTCTTCACCACCATCATCATTATTGGAGTGATTTCATTCCATCAGGGCTTCTTAATGATTACTGAGAGAATCATTATTTCAGCTTAATAAAGACACTTATCATGCAAACTCTCACACACAAATATGTTGTAGTGGATTTGATGGGTGATTAGGAACAGAACCAGAAAGATTCGTGTGACCCTATATGGTTTTTCCCATGTTTCTTACAGACCATGTACAGTCATGAACTCTTGCAGGTTTTGATTCATAGTACTTTTATATTTCAGCACATATTGAATTCTTTACAATAATTAATTAAGTGAATTGTCAATTTCTGCATCACTGGTGGCTCCAAGTAAAATTGCAAAAATCCCTATTGTTGGCTCTGCACTTCCAACCCGATCTCACGACCAAGTCGTACGAATTTGACGAATGATTAAAAAGTGGCTAATTCGTAACAATTCATACGACCTCACTCGTACGAATTAATACGATTTTGCTAAATCGTACATATTTTACGAATTGGCCAATTCTTTTGAATTCGTACGAATGACCTACCCCTTACCCCGCCCCTAAACCTAACCATCACGTGGGTTTAGACAAATCGTACGAATTAGTACGAGTGAGGTCGTACGAATTAGTACGAATTAGCCACTTTTTAATCATGCGTCGAATTCGTACGAATTGGTCGTGAGATAGTGTTGGCACTTCCCCTGCCTCCTACGGGGAAAGAGAAAGTATTTTAATATTTTCTCTTCATCCTGAAACCTTTAAAAGTGCACAACACCATCTTATGCCAACAGTCGTCATTAACCTCCTGTTTTCTCTCCTAAAGGGCTTATGGAGAACTAACCAACTGCACGTTCATGGTGGCTCTGAAGATGAACTGTTTCTGGCCCAACCGAATGGTGGATGAATTCTTCATCCGGGTGCACAGACACTACTTCCATGACTGTTCATTGTCTGGACGGCTGCTTCACGATCCACCAAATCGGATCTTGGGGCCTTTTATCGTGGTGCCCATTCTGGTGACGCTACTCATGACTGCTCTAGTGGTGTGGAGGAGTAAACGCAGCGAGGGAATTGTTTAAGTCTACAACAGTTTACCCATAATCTCCACACTGAACAACAGAGAAGGTGATATTTCACAGACTGTGAACATTAAGAAAGACTTGTTTCTCATCAAGTAGTTATACATCAGAATATAGTGAACACGGTTTCTGTGTTATCTACAAACAGATAACACACAAGTCATTTATACGGACAAAAACTTTCAGCACAATTTCTTTTAAGTAGTTTTTAACTAAATGTTTTGTCATGCCAGCATTTTGTCAGTGAAACAGATCTCCAATCTGGATGCAAGTCATTATGATGATGGATAAGTATAACCTTGGATGGATAAACACCAAAGGAAGGACACTGTTATTCCCATGTGTTTGACAAACCTATGTGAGAACTGGACTCAATCACTTTGTGACATCTCAACGTATTTCACACTCATAGATGTGCTTTGTGCTAAATTATGACATTTGTAGCATGACATTCATGATTAAAATTTTGTTGTAATATTTAAAAATTAAAAAGGGCTATAACCATAATCATGCCAGTAACCTTTACTATATTATGGTCCTTCCGATTTTAAAAATAAATTGAAATTATGTGAATATCAAGATCATATATTTCGGTAAGTCACCTAAAAATGCTTTGGCCAAAATCTCTCAAAATCAAGTCAATCCCACACAAACCATTGCATCATCAAAATCATGCAAGATTTTGGGAAGCTGTCAGAAAATAATTTCATTCAATACTAAAAAGTTTTGGACTAATGGATGGGTTTATAGTATGTGATGTAATATATGTGCGTATACATACACACACACACATACACATATACTGTATATACCGTGTGTATATATATATATATATATATATATATATATATATATACACACATACAGTATATAAGTTTAAAAAAAATGCATATTTATTATATTCATGCAATCAATTCCTTTTTAAGAAAAAAAATGTATTACATTGATAGTAAAATCTATGTGCATTTGTACACCTCAAATGAAATCTCAATTTGGTTTGTACAAATTGATGGCACTTTTTGAGCTTTAAAGGTCATTTAATTCCACCATACAAAGACCGCAAAAATGACTTTACTATATTTTAATGCCTAATGTCATTAGGGACAATGTGCTACCTCCATTACATTTAATGTTTTAATTTGCTCTAGTGTTAGTTCAATTATAGGCTTCATCGCAATCTTTGTGAACCCCAAGTAGGGTAACTGCCTATACGGTCTATGTATGTCTATATACTGTAGGCAACAGACAGTCCAGCAGCTCATCATGTGGATCAGAGCCATCTTTTGTATTGACAGTGGCTATCAGATACTATTAGAAGCAGTGAACAGATAATTATTTGGTGTCTCAACACACAGGCTTCATGAGGTCAAGGGGCAATATTTTCTTTCTTTAGTGGAGGACAATTTGCAGCATTTGTCAATGATATGAATTATGTATTAACACTAAAATTATGTTTTTTTTTTCTTTTCTTTTTTTTTACATGGTTCTGCTAAATGTTCTTTTTTTGTTATGCCTGTGTGTCTCTGGAGCTCTGTGGATTAAAAGCCTGTGGTTTTCACCTGCCTGTAGCGAATTGGACGGAGACACCAGACGTCTTTAATGTCAGCTGAGTTTCAAAGCCTCTGATTTCTCCTGCAGTTATAATAAAGTCATTTGCCCTCAACTTTTTTATTTTTATTCCAGACATTTCCCCTCATTTGGATGGTTGCTTTTGGGCACATCATATGCAAATAAACAGACACGAGAGTAGGCATGCTGTCATGAGTCACCAGAAGTTAGCCAACCACAGGTCAGTAACTTACAGCACAATCACTCGGCTTCTATTTCCTGAATTACTTCCATGTTGATGCCACATGATGTCTCAGCATTTTGTTGCTAGAAGGATATTCATGGAGCTTCATTTTTTAACCTTAGAAATGATTCCTTTTAAATAACTGCCAGTACAACGCATTCTCACCCCAAGGCGTCACCTTTGACCATGCTTCAATATTTGACGTTTTAGGCGCCCTTTAGCGTCACTTACATGACGCGATCCTACGGCGTCATCTAACTGACGCTAAAGGAAAGCGTCAGTTAGAGGACGCGGTTAGGTTTAGGTGTGGGGGTAGGGTTACACGCGATAGGGCGTCATCTAACTGACGCTAAAGGGCGCCTAAAGCGTCAGATATTGAAGCATGTCCAAATGCTTCCCAAGGCGTCAGTTAAGTGACGCCTTGGGGGTGAGAATGGGCTGGCCAGTATCACCAATGCACTGATGTGCCACTATTTTAACACAAATTTTAAAGCACTGCTAAACATAAATAACCTACCTAAGTAACCTACAAGTAACCTACCTAAATGGACACAACAACACACTGTTAGTCATTGTCAATCCTTATGTGATAAAGATCTCAACACTACAAGGTAATCTAAATCATGAAAAAATAGATTTTAGTTTCTAAAATCATGAAACAGCTCTCATTTCAGCTTAGACACAATTTAGACAAGGTAGCACACTCGATAATCTTTTTTTCTTTCCTCTCTACCATAATATCTAAAAGGCACAGCTTTCAAAAATCTTTACAGAGCTTGAAGGAATGCAAAAGAAGAAATATCAAAAAATTGTGTTAAGTGATATGAGATTCTTATTTAAGTGACATCAGAGATTAAATTATTCAATCAGAAATTTCATATATAAAACATAAAATAATTATACCTATACTACCTATAAGCAATCCGCATGCTTTTCATGTTCTGGGGGCATAAATGCACATTTTTTAGGCCAGAGCAGAGCAGGCAACGTTTTTGTAAATAACTGTAAATCTTTAAATCCGCCAGACAGCAGATCCCTGGATATTCACATTCACCTGGTGAGAATCACCCACTCAGGTACTGGCAAGACTGTACAAAAGGCTGCTGTGAAATTATGAATGGCATTTACACAACTAACACTTTTTTTCCAGAGTAAACAATGAGCTGATTTGTTGGTGTTATATCAGGGAAGTTCATCTTTTTTGAGCAACATTCATCACTTTTATATAATTTGTATGTGGAATCAATAAAATATTTCAAATGTGCTGTCCCTGGCCTCATATACTTTATTGATTGCTATGAAGTTCAGAGTATTAAATAAATCTAGTCCTAAATCGCATTACATAAGATGCCATGTCCAGTATTTGCCAATATTAGAAATGAATTGACAGAGATGAATAGATGACTACTCGATGCATCAGCCATTTATCACTTTAATAACAGGCAATTAAAAGTGTTGTTTAATCTCCTTGATGGAGGGGGAGAAGAATAATGATGTTCTCAATAGGTCAATTTCAAAGGACAGTCCGTTAGATGATAGGGGAGACGCAACGACACAAGGGCTATTTACAGTCTCCTCCTCACTAATGAGACAAACCCGTCACCCATCTCTTGAGCCACACCACAACAAATAATCATCACAAGGGACTTATTTTTAATTACACTCAAAGAGTTACAGTAAATGATGCTCCAATTGGAGGGCACAGGAAATCTGTAAAGGACAATACAACACAGTTCACTACCTTTTAGACACTTGTACTAACCACTTTAAGGGAACACGCTGACTTTTTTGGACTTAAGCGTATTCACCGTATCCCCCAGAGTTAGATAAGTTCATACATACCCTTTTCTTCTCCGTGCTTGCTTTAACTCTGTCTTACACACTCACTGCTAGCCTAGCTTAGCACAAAGACTGGAAGTAAATGGCTCCAGCTAGCATACTGCTCTCGATAAGTGATAAAATAACGCCAACATTTTCCTATTTATATGTTGTGATTTTGTATAGTCACGGTGTGTACAAATAACAAGGTTTATATGAGACACAGGCATCTTTTAATAAGATAAAGTCCCCAAAAGTCAGAGTGGTCCTTGTTATTAATTAACATGTTAATTCACTGTTATAAAACGGATAGTTCTGGTCCTTGATTCTGATTGTTTGAGCCGCATTCAAAGCCGTTGTAAATTACTCAACAAACCTGTGAGTATTACTCATTAGTATTACTGTGCAACTGCTGTTTGTGATTCTTTGTTGCTGCATTGCTTGGCAGAGGAATAAATGTGTTATAACGTTATATTTTTAGTTGCTGGTGTTTATTTTATGAATATAAGTAACCGTTTTATGAAAGCAATTTTGTAATTGACCTTTAAGTTCGCTGGGCGTATTGCTTTGTTTTTTTGTTTCAGATAAATCAAATGTATAAATGATTATATTTTAATTTATATACAGCTAGCGTTACCAAACTGATTTTCAAACAATTTTACAGAACAATCCCCTCATATTCTGAATTGTTCAGCCAATCAAGTAACCCTTATAATAGCCCATAGGTTGTGTCATTGTTTTGATGACTCTAGATAACCTTATAAGGGTTATTGTGTGCCCTTCCCTTCAGCAATAACTCAGAACAGGTTACATTTGCGGCTCTGTAATTGGATTGTGTATCCTAAACCCTTGGGTGAAAAAGGAGGTACAAGTCTGGTGCTACTGTAGCAGGTGCCGTGATTTCAGCTTTAATACAAAGGTTGCTTCTTTGAAGTTTGTTGACTCTCAATGGAAGTAAAATAATGACATGTGTTTTTGAAACAAAAAAGATTGTTGAATTTCACTACATGAAAAAAAAAATACATTGCATTAACTATGCTTGCATTTTAATGCATTTAACTGTGACGACTTCAATGTAAACACAGCTTTTGTGTCTTTATCTGCTTTTTTCATACTAGCCCAGATAATCATCACAAATATTTATTGTTTGCTCCATTTCTGTAAATCCATTTTATGAATGAATGACTCTCTCACACATTCTATAGTTTTCTTCGTAAACAGCTGCTTGCTGAGGGAACATCTCTAGGGTCTTCAAGTGGGCACCTTCTGTCCTCAGTGTTTCGTCGACTAGCCCACGACACCTTAAGAGGGCTTGACAATGACTCTGACATCCCAGAGTCACCCCCCTCCGTCCCCCACTCAGCTCAGCCCAGCTTACTGACTTCTACATCCCTGACTTCTAGGTACAACCTGTTTTTCCCATGCCACTTTTATCAATTTCCACAGAATTCGTAGAACTTCTGAAGCACTCTTGTACACTCTGTACTGAACTCCATTAGGCCCTGGAGATGATGAAGCCCTTGCCTTTCTCCCAGCCTGCTCTACCTCTTTCCACTTAGGCGAACAGACCTCCATTTGGTGTTCTGGTGGGTTGATTGGTGGTATGTCTGATGGAATTGACATATTGCCTTTTTGCATCTGTATGCGTGTCCTCCAAATATCTCTCTAGCTCAACCCTAGATATAGTCAAGGGTTTGAAAGACATATAAGTCTAAAGAATGAAATACAATATATATATATATATATATATATATATATATATATATGAAGAGTTCAGATGCAAAAGCCTCTAAATGCCATTTGAAATTTTCTTCTTGAATGATGATTTTTTATCAAACTTGTATATTTAACTTCAGTAATTTCACTTAAATAACAATTAATAGGTAATCATCATTGCCATTTAAGTGAAATCACTGAACTTAAATATACAAGCTTGATAAAAATGATCATTCTAGAAGAAAATTTCAAATGGCACTTAGAGGCTTTTGCATCTGAACTCTTCATATATACATACATATATACACACACACACACAATAAAAATATTATGGACAGAAATATTGTTAAGTTGAATTTGAGAGAAAGAGAAAAAAAAGAGAAATGGTTAAAAAGTATAAATTCATCATTGGTAAAAAGATTTAAGATCAAAATGAGTGCAGCCTATTGGTTGTGAGCACATGGTGCAACCTGGGAGAATCAAGGTATCTGATTGGTCATTGAAACTCCACATCTCCAAACTCCACCATGTGTGTGTGATATCTAGGAGCAAGAGAGGTCTTTGCTTGCAGTAAATGTGCTTCTCCTACCAAAGTCGGTTGTTTTTGGTGATTAAAAAACCAAAAGGAGAAAGATTGTTGGGAAAAGCCACAATGTTTTCATCAACTTTGAGATGAAACTGGTAGGACAAAGACTCATTTTTCTTTAATGACTACATATCTATGTTTGAAAGGTGATTAATGCTAGTAGTTTAGCATTTAACTTTCTAGCTGCATTACAAGCTTTTTATTTACATTGCTGTTTAGTTGCTGTGCAAAACTGTGATTTTGTTATTTTTGCTGCACTTTGTAGTGACTCATATCACAAATCTGTTTCTGTGTAGGTTATTAAGCTAACCTTCTGTAATTATCATTCAGACAAGTACAAAAAGAAGATCTAGTCATTGATGGGAGATTTTCAATAAATTGCTTCTATGATGAAGAACCAGATGGTTTGAGTTATTCCATGCACCTTCTGAGTTGATTGAAGCCTTCTTCAAGTTTGGGCAGACATTGAGGCAAAGAAAAACCCTGATAACTTGACAAATATTGTTTCACAACAACACACATTTTACTATAATCAAATCGGTAGAACATAATTATAGTCGCTGTCATACAAACTAAGGTTAATCGTTGATCTTTATGGGAGCTATGACCAATAACTGATCTATTTTAGCAAAACTGGAAAGCTATTGACCAATCAGACTAACTGCTCCACATGCTTTTTAAATTCTTTCAAAACTGTACAGATCAGTAGTCAAATTGTAGTCTAAGTTTTTGTGAATAGTAGAATAGAATA